TTCTAATTATGCGACCACCACTGTATAAGTATTCATTCCATCCTTCGAACGAATCAACTTACAGGTCAGTCAGCGGTAGTAAATTTAAAACTTGGTTTGTCTAATAGTAACCACAGTCAATGCATATAAATTATGAGTAAAAACTGTTAGCCCGATGGTAGGTGAAAGTATGTTCATAAACAGTGCAGCTCATAAAATAAATCGATTTTTATGATAAAAATAAAGTATAAAACATACAAAAATCGACTCAACATAATCTACTTATGATTTTACGTTAAAAATTAAACTATTTTGTCACACCTAGAATAGTTCAGGCAACTACAATGGCGCGAAGCTAGCTATGCGTGAGATTATTCGCAAGGCGGCCACGAGGCCATGGGGCCACCGCCACGCCTGCTCGCTACCAGTCAACTGTCATCTGATATAAGTGTATACACGAGTGTTAACAAGCTTTACTAGCTAGTAGTGTGCTCGAGCTTGAGCATGAGCAACTCATCTGCAACCCATCAGGTATAGACTATAGTAGAAGTCCATGGTCGGCGGTAGTCACTTAACATCAGGTGCACCGCTTGCACGTTTACCCCATTATTTTCTCATAAAAAACCATTAGCCATTCTAAGTGTTCGGTATCCGACGAAGGATTACATGGTCGCTAGCACTGACACAACGAAGGTCAAGCTACAATTGTAAGATTTTCACCGAAAGTCTTCTTGGCCAATATTTTGAACGGGGGCGTGCGTGTTGCGTCAGACCGCCGCCGGTGCCCCTCGCTCTACACGTGTACTAACATGACCTATTGCGTTTGCCCGCAGCGCACCATTATAACTACGAATAGTGTAAAAGTTGATCAATCACAGAAGTTTTTGATAACGTTGGATTATCAAATGCTCAAAGTTCGCCGTTGGATACCATGTTTGGAAAATTTAAGCGCAACTTTTTCCACTTGGTGTATAAATACGACCTTCGTATTGCTTATGGACGATAAGTGGTGCTAACGATTTCCCCCCGTGCCCACCTGTTAGCGCTAACTAGTACTAATGAGCCAGTGACGGTGTCGAAGGGAGCCTAATATAATCGTCCTAATAGATCGCGCTATATTGAAGCAGCCGAACGTACGAGCGGAAATATACATTGCTTATGGACTGGCATCAATTTGCGTTTTATAATCTCGTTTATCTGCAAAACTAACATTAATAATTTTTTCCAATTTTTCGGCTATCGAACTCTTTCCATCCAACCCGATACAGCGACTAGCTTTATTAGGCGAACCCAATTAGGTCACTAGAGCGTTCATAAGTTCGGCAAAAATTTAACATTTGTGTTGTCAAATCTGTGAAAGGGCTCACAACAGCTTCGGCTGTACGAACGGGTTGGTCCGTCCGGGCAAGTACCTCACAGAAGATTAGCGCGAAGTGGAAATGTCATATGTCTGCGTTTCATCTGGTGAATGAGGTTTTATTATAAGGTGGCATTGCATCTACAACCCTAAGGGTGTTGCGAATGTCCATGGGCGACGGTTATCACTTAACATCAGATGAACCGCTAGTTCGCTTACCACCTTCTCACATAAAAGAATAATAAAACTACGATCTGAGTAAGGCGGCGAACGTAGGCACTGAGCTGTACCCACTCGCAATTGTTAGTTGCGAGTGAAATCCGAGGTAGCGTGAGAGAACCCACCAGAGCGACCAAACGACTTACGCCACAATTATTTCGCATGAGCCTGAATTGGCAAAACCGCACATTGAAATAACATCTATGAAAGAACTGGCGATTCGCTGCAGAGGTAATTTTCTTGCTATTGGGTAGTTCATCATTTTTAGGGTTGCGTACCCTAGGGGTAAAACGGTACCCAATTACTAGTACTCAGCTAACTGTCTGTCTGTCCGTCTGTCACCAGGCTTTATCTCATGAACCGTGATAGTTAGACAGTTGAAATTTTTCACAAACGATGTATCTCTGTTGCCGCTATTCCAACAAATACTAAAAAACAAAATAAAAAAAATATGTTGGGCACCCATACAACAGACATACTTAATACGGAACACTTTGTGCGCGAGTCCGACGCGTACTTGGCCGTTTTTTTCTAAATAACAGGTACCTGTTTTTAATAACCTCCATTGTTATGCATTTTACAAATCAATCATTGGGGACGCGTATTCACTCATAAAAAATCTAAATAAGTTTTAATACTACAGATGGGTTATGTTGGATAGGGACAATTTTTGAGTTTAGGTTGTAAAAAAACTAATTAATATTTTTGATGTTCCTATAAACCTTGAAGTAAACCCCAAACTTGATATACCCGCCATATTTTCGTCTCTCCGTCCCTTTTTTAATTTTTTTTCCGTCCCTTATATGGACACAAAGTCAACCACATCTCATAAACGTTCTCTTTGCTGGTCTAAATCGGTGTACTATCTTTAAATAAGATATGCAGTTAAACTTTTGGGACTTTCATTAATTGTATAAACCCATCACTGTACACTTTTTGAGTTTCTGCGAAAATACTCCCTAAATACTAATACTAAATAATCCACAAAATTTGGGGTAAAATTTCTTTAAATGTTCACAGCATCAGCGGTATCGACATATTTTTCGCTTGGGCCATATGTTGTTAGTAATGAATTCGAAGTTTTTTAAGGAACCATCAACGAAAAGTCGCCAGTTGGAAGGAATAAAAGCTACTCTGATTTCTTCTAACAAACATCATTGTAAAAACAAAATCCTTATACTTAGATAAGATGCTATGACAGTTATTAAGCATATTCATTTTTAAAGACAAGACAGAATTGCTGCTTTACTTTTTTCAGAGTGCTGCCATAGGATTCAAAATGCAAATCAATCATCCAAAATCTCCGATAAACTACTTATCTACTATTAACATCTAAGTTAAGCAGCCAAAAGCTAGGTACATCACCCAAACTTATAATAAGGATTATTTATTATGTTGTGGCCAGTACGAGGGAGGATCGGAACTTTCGGACGTTCTCGTCAAACTCTCGGAACCGCTCACGTCTCAAGTCTCACCGCTCAGGGAGAACAATACAATATAAGAAGCGCTGGTGCCGCGGAGCGTGGCGGGGCCGGTCCGTTACAACTGTACCCCGTCCCGGCCTTGCGCCCATCGCCGCCGCAGACCATGGACTCAACTTAGTTCGTAGGCACACATGATGCTCGCTTCTTACGATCACAAACTAACTACATAAAATATTACTTATTCATTGTACCTCCTACCTGGGATCCATCAAAAAAATATCTTAATCTTGAAATGGATACCGTCCAATGTCACTCGCCCGAGCCACCGATGTGAAAGACATAAAGTCACCATATAACGTCTAGATCTTCGTGCGGCACTATGTTACTCTGCCAGCTGCGGTGTGTTGATGATGTATTTAAGTTGTATGATATGTCAGCACGTATGTCAACATGTATTTAAGTCATTCACAAGACATTAGATGACAGATTAAATATCTGTCATTCAATTAACTACGGGAAAAAACAGAGACAAAAGCCCGTGAGTATCAAGTGTTTTTTCAATAATTTCATCAATTTACAAACAATTTTTTACGTATTGGTCCTGATGTTCCGACTCTTTGGCATTTTCCATGGTCACAGGACTGAGGCGTTATAGACGTCCTACTAGCGTCGCTGTTAATCCGTGTTGCTATTAGAAATATGGAGTTCGTGGGAGAACTGCAACAGCTGCTCCGTGTGTCCGAAACAATTTTGAACAGCGAAAAATCGCGGGCATTCACTTCTAAAAACATACCGTTGTAAGACTTTGAAAAATCACTTTTATGTGTAAATTAAAATATTAATCAAAGTGGTGAATATTAAGTTTATAACCTCATAACACACTACACTACACTACACTACAGGTGTGCCAATTGTCTTAGTCAACAGGTTTCTGTAACGTACGCAATAATGGATGAGCTTCAATTGAGAGCAATTTACAAGAGCGACGTGGGAATAAATCTTTTGAAGATAAGCAAAAACAAGTACTAATAAGGTGCTTGCGTTGCAGCAAATTGTGGCAAGTGTCTGGAATCTAAATTTTTCACCTCATATCATTAACAAGACAAAAAATATGGTTTTTCGAGTTACCAAATAGATATGATTTAATGAGAATGTAACGTGAACATTGCGCATTAACTTTGAAAAAAAAAAACCAGTCAAGTGAGAGTCGAACTCGTACGCCGAGCGCTCCGTACCTCCCATATATATACCGCCATAACAAAATTGATAAATAATCACGACAGATTTTCTCAGGAACAGGCTGGCCTAGTAAGTTGAAATTTATATCAGACTAGCTACTGCCCTCGACTACGTCTACGTAAAATAGGCTGAAGGCGTAACATTCAGACAGAAAGAGATATACATAAAATATGTATATAAAATTATGGTCTATGTTATTCTGATGTATAAGCTATATTATATTATATTATTGTGAAGTTTTATTAAAATCCATTCAGTAGTATTTGCGTGAAAAATTCAAAAACATCCATCCATACATACGTACAAACTTTCGTCTTTATAATATTAGTAAGGATAGTAAGGATATTGACGTTTATAGTATACTATAAAAGAGACTCTATTGGGTGTTTAAAACTCAAGGTCCGGAAGAAAAAAGATATGGGTAAATTTAGATTGTCGCGAAAACTTCTAAGTATCCAAAATTTACCTTAATTTTCAACTTTCTTTATCTTTTAGAATTTTTCCTTTTTAAAAAACAAATTGCTTGACCTTGCTTTTACCAAATATCGTGATTCTAGGTCAACGGGAACTCCCATATAGGTCTCCCTTGTATTAACTGATGTTTGTGCTTTCAGTCCCGAGACTTATATAGGTCTTCGAGCTGTACAGGCGTTTGTTGTATAATTTTGGATAAGTAATTGCATTCGGTTAAACACAATCTTTATACGTCAAGAGAAATAGTTTAGCTTGCTTGTAGAGAGTATGAGTGGTGGTCCCCGGAGGAATGAAACCAGTGCGCTCACGTTGGTCGTGAGCCGCAGTAGCAACTTTGCGGTCCCCGCTTTGCTTTACAGTTAGAAATTGCAGCACTGTTCCAATCGCAACGCAGAGCGCGTGTCGTGCCTCCGACGCGCTTATTAGCCGTACCGTTCCGAGCCGTGCAATGTTCCATTTCACTTGACGATTTATTGGCACCGCAATTGGCCGTTCCCCTCGCGGTCCGCTCTAGACGGGTACGAGCCAGCTGCGGTCTGTCGATGTAGGAGCCGATGAACTCCAATGCCAGTGGGGCGGCAGAGCCTCTGCCCCACTGGCGTTGCAGTGATCATCAGCATCGGATGGCAGAAACGTGGCGTCACTCACGCAACGAGCCCGCCGAGGAAGGCGACCGGGCCGCCGCCGATGAGCCGGATCTTGCGGTGGCACGAGTCGAAGAGCGAGAGGCGCGCGTGCGGCGGCGGCGGCAGACCCACCGTGCCGCCAGAGGCTGCAGAGCGCAGCATCGCTCCGCTCGCATGCCCCGCTCACTAGCCGCCAGCGAGCTCGGTACACACGCTAATGTACACGTACACGTCCACGGCGCACGCGACTTGCTCCGCGAGCATCGCAACACGTCTCACTCAAGTCGTGTTTCGTGCGAGACTGACTGACTGACTGACCGTCCCTCGCCGCCCCTCCCTCCCCCGTACCCCTCACACCGCATCGTTTACACATCGTGTGACGAAACTTTGAACAAACGTTCATTGTATCGATTTTCCATAAATTTCAAAGGCACAGGACAATATAATTATATTCTAATACTCTTTAATAAAAGGCAAAAGACAAGTGACACTTCTTAAAGTTAGCAAAACTCTAATATGTCCTTTGAAAATATATTAAACACTGAACTTTATCTCAGTTATTGAATAAAGCTATGTAATGGTGCACTGGCATCAAAAATTTCAATGCCTTGAAACTTTACCAGTAATTCAACTATTAATATATTGAAACAATATTTCGCATAATAAAGTTATTTTAGACATGATCCAAATGAATCAGAAAATTACACAGCTATTGCAATGTTAATATAAACGTTAGATATAAAGTAGCAACAAACAACTAGCTAGAGCGATCAGCTGATCTCAGGGTGGGGTGGGGTGCGGGGGGGGGGGGGGGGGGCGGTGCCGCCACGGGCCGGAGTCGCACCGCACTATGTCATTTGAAGGAACCTGTTTCACCTGGTACTTTTACGTGCTCGAGATTTTAATAGTATAAAATGTTACAATTTAGCCAATTCGTAAAATCAATAGAATAAACTACGTAATAAGAGTAATCTGAATATGGATGTAATTTTCACTGGCCTCACACTTATAAACAGATGACTCTACAGATTGGTGGGCTGACCGTCAACGTCAGCAAAAAAGGGCAATTTGGCTTAATATTGTTAATCCACGTGTCACGTTGTGTTTCAGAGTTGTTTGTGTCTGTAGAACTGGTTATTCCTCAGCGAGGTTTCAAGTCCGTGACGTGGACGGAGAAATGATGCACGGTGCCGCGTCGGGTTGTTGGCTATGATAAAAGCTGAACCAGTTTAACCGTGACCAGATTGCCGAACGCGCAGTCCATGAGAACCAACATTAAATTGTCGAATGAAATACTTTCGAGCACGTCACTCACTGCCCAAAGGGCGCAACAACACGCCGTTATGTTTCTGCGTTCCGTTTTAGGGCAAAGAGGCCACAGCGCTTTGGGGTTATGGAACTGAATTTTGTTGTTTTCGCGCGAACAATGATGAGAGCGACCGCGCCGTGGGAAAGGAGGTGAGGTTCGCGAGCCACACGTCAACTTCTGAGACAAAAGTTTCATTCATAGGATATGCGGTCGTACTGATATATCCTTCGTCTACTGATCCCACACCAAAGCTTCGATCCGGTATACTAGAATTGCTTGGAAGTGCTTTTTTAAAAAGTGCTTTTGGTATTTTTCGCCCGTATTCAACGAGGCTACGCTGTTTGCAAGTATCGCGCGCGGAAGCAGATGCAATCGTTTGTCTTTATCCAGAGAATAGAGAACCCTCCGCGGTCAGCATTACTGGGAAGCGGTGAATGGGCCGCCACTTGGGCATTTCAATGAACAGAATGAATAATACGCACGCGAACCCACCACCTGCGTCGGCCGGTGAGTTTGTGCAGTCCGCTTGATTTATGAGGTCCCACTGTGCGCCTTGCCTTACTCTCGCCGCGCCCTTGCCCTCCTGATGGGGACTGACTTCCGCCTAACGCAGGCGTTCATTCACCAGTCCTGGTTATGGCATTCATATTCCGGTGGGTGCGATAAAAATGAAAAATTATATTATTTATTTTTTCAAATTCTCACGTCGACTTTCCGCACAGGAAAATAAACTCTATTATTATACATTTTACCGAAAACTCAAAAGAAAATAAGTAGCATCTTTATTGCTTTCTGTTAGCCTATTTATATTTTACTAGCTGATCCGGCAAACGTTGTTTTGCCATATAAATTATTTTTAGGGTAGAAAAAAATGTTTGGGGTGGACCACCCTTAACATTTAGGGAGATGAAAAATTTCACGAAAATCGGTAGAGCCGTTTCGGAGGAGTTCAATTACAAACACCGTGACACGATAATTTAATATATTAGATATTGACTAGCAAAGTAGTTTTATTTTGTATACTGTTATAATATGTTCGATAAAACTTTTGTAAAATAGCAACATTATATCTTGGAAATGTGGCAACATTAAAAAGTAAATTAAGATCCGATATTTAAATTATTTTTCATAAAGATTTATCTAAAGCTGTAATAAATTGTCACAAATTTTGTAAGAATAACTAAACTATTTTATTATGTATTTTAAAAAGATGCGTTCCGGGTACTGCCTTAACAGCGGTACAAGGAACAGATACTCGTTCTTGGCACGGTCGTCGGGGTGAAAAGACATGTAGTTAGCGAAATATTGTAATAAAAATATAAGAAGAACTCAAAGACTACTTAATTTAATGTTTAAAACCTATACTTCTGAAGTTATCCTATATTACTATGAAGAATAATATCACAGGAACCTTAAATGGTCCACTTAATGTTTATTTATCAACGTAGTAGTTTTGCTCAAAAAAATAACAGTTCTACATGAACTCGCAAGTGGGACGAGCTTCGATCGTTAAATTTCAAATGGGTAAGGCGTGCTTTGTTATAGGCCAGTGACGTCATCGAAACGTGACTCGAGTGGCATGGCGTCGCCGTCGGGGCGAGCATCCATACAAACCATTCAGGAAGCCCTCTACTGTGATGGACGCAAATTAATTTCACTGTATCGAAATATTTTAATCGACACCTTTGTCTATATTTCCCTATTGGAATGGGCAACTTCTCAACTGTATGGATGGGGGGCGTGGGCGTGCGTGGCCGTGTGGACTTACCAGAGGCAGTCCAGCATGACAGACATGCAGGGGCGCGGGGCCGCACTCACCTGCAACAACACAATGGCTTTTATTAGCTCAAGCTGTCAACCCATTTCACACCCTTCTCCTTTCGGCTTCATCGCATCGCATTTTATAAACTAAAGACAAGACCGACTTTAATTATCTAGCTCAGTATTCATTTTATAATTGATTTTCAGGAGTTCCCTGAAGTATCTCCGGAGCCCAAGACCGCATACGCATGAAATTATTATGGGACCACATGGGAAGCACCAGCTTTCAAATAAAAAAGAATCATTCAAATCGGTTCACTCGGTTGAAATTTATGAGGTGACAAACACAAAAAATAATACAGTCGAATTCAGAACCCCCTCTTTTTTAAAAGTTCGTTGAAAAAATCAACATTGGAAAATAATATTAATTGTAAAGCGATTTCTGTGCATCACATATCTTTGTTTGTGCAGAGTGTTGGAAAGAAATGTCAAAAATGTTTGTGGATTCCTTCGGCATCAAATGGGCTTATGAGAAAGGTTTAAGATTTTAACCCGGATTTCGTATATCGGATTCTTTATAAATATATATTTATATTTAAGATATGTCTGAGCAGCTTAGTTGTATTTTAATCAAGAAAGAAGTAGAAACTATCAGCAGTATTACGTCTCAGGGCAAGGTTCAATCAGAATATAATTTGGATGGATACAATTAATATGACCATGGAGATTGTTATTTCTCTGTATCGTAAGTATTTAAACTCTTTTCCAGACGTCTTTAACTTTACAATATTCCTTATTGCTAGTTCTGTGCGATAAATAAGAAACTACTTCGGTCCGTTTCTGAGCTCCATATTGAAATGAAGAGGCTAGCAGCAGCCGAGGCCTACGATATAAGTGAAGATTTAAAAAAAATAGGATTTTGAAAAAAAAAAATCCTGCCAGTGCAATCAGTATGCAAAAAAGAGGTCCGTCGTCCGTCAAGGTTCAACCTTGTGACGAGACGCCGGCCTAATTTTAATACTGTCAGCAGATCCGTCGCAATGTTTAGGCGACCTCCTGCCAGGAGCGCAGCGGCACCTGGCCTCGGGCGCTCTGTCGTTGTACACTCTGCACAAACACGAAAATAACTGGAGCCGAGAAATCGTTTTGGCAGCTTCGGTAGCGCACCGCGGTGGCCAAGATAAACGCCACCGGAGCCCACAGGTCAATGTGTAAGCGCGTTAAAGGCATGTTCCAAGGTTTAATGATTAAATATACGATGGAAAAAGTTTCTCAATTCTTAAATTTCAATTGAATATTGACGTCTTTTAATTTTAAAGCGATATGATATAACAAAACGGCTACAAGATTGGCATTTACATAACATTCTGTTTTGCTCATATCTAATGATCCATCTTAATAACAACACCATTTTAATTATATGTATATATCACGGACACAATATAAGGTGTCCTTTTTCTTTCCCTTGACCTTATCGCACCGAGGTGGGAGTCGGCGTGACGTGTGAATCAGGTTGTAACTGATCTTGGCTAGATGGGCTGGCGTCCATCCATCTTAGGAGCAAGCATCTGTGAGTCACACAAATACTAGTCTTGTGTGGCAATCGAACCCGCGACTCTCGCTAAAGCTGAGCTGCGACGCGCCATCTGTTGCCGAGCGGAAGGAAGCGGCCGGCGAGGCGGGGGCAGGCGGATCTCCTTGGCGTTTTCCACCCCTTCCGTCGAAACATTCTAGGGGTTCCACCTGTAACTGCCTCAGCTCTCAAGTGTCGAGGCTTTTGTTTCTAATAATAAGGTCAACCTAAATTCACCATTACCTATCTACCTAAAGCGCTCGATCAATTAAAGTGGACTTCCGTCCTACTTCCTCTCTAGTATACTTCAAAGATCACTATTTCAAATAGACACAGTCTGTAAGGTAGTCAGTGAGGTCTCAATCCCGACGGCGACTGTGACTTTAGCCCACCCACCTCCTGCTTACTTGCTTACGTAATACTTGAACGTCAGGACAGTAAAATATCGACGCAATGAATATTTTTAAAGGTTGCAATATTTTCAGAAGTTCATATTTTGTCGCGGACCTTTTATCTTAACCAAATCAAATTAACCTTTTACTGTATCTTATCAGTTTGGATGTTTACATAGTTTTTTTTTTGTATTTTTAGGCATAACTCCTTCATATAGAGACGGACTTTCAAAATTATTTTTTTTGTTCGAACGGGGTTTATCCCGAAGCTATGCTACTAAGCTAACTCTATGAGAGCTATAGGAAATTTAAATGGGAGCATCCATTTAAATTTTCAATAGCTCTGTTAGTTTCGGAGACAGACGGAACTCTTCATGATTTCAATGACAGTTTACATTGTTTACATACATTGCCTACGCACTCACTCAACGTAACATCATGCCCGTACACTCGAAAGGGTTACGCAGATGTATTCCGTATATCAGCTTACACCCACATTTTATTTCATAGTTAGACAATGGTCGATTTAAAAGTTAGGCTGTTAAAGCCAATAGGTTAGTTCAATTTTTGCCGCCTAAAATGACCTTAGAAATTCGATACCCTATTTCGCAATCATATTAATTACATTTATTCTGTCACTAAAATTCACAGTCCACCAGTTCCACTTAAAATTTTTATTAGTTAATACTGCGAATATTAGTCGCTAGGGCAGTGTCAAAGACTGCTTACATCTTATTTTTCAGAAATTTTAATTCTTAACATATATATATACAAATATACGTATATTAACAAGCATAGTGAAATCAATTAGGACTCCACCCAACACTATCAGTTATCTGGCTTCCCATAATATACATAATTTTATTTACATTTTCCTATCTATTAAAACTCGTATGAACAGTACGAAGTTGCCGCTGTGCTTTCTGTATTAAGATATAATAAGTTGGTGGATAATTAATCTACAGAACAGGTATGCTAGAGTAAATGTGAAGTTTATGCTTATGATTTTATAAATGTTAGATTTTTTTCTGTTTATTGTTTAGCAGGCTTTAAACTAAGACATATACGGACGTTAAAATGTCGTAAAAGTTTTAGAACATTTGTCATTTGACGTCCAGGATGTCAAATGAATAATAGTTTGAAATTTTTACGACATTGCAGCGTCCGTATACTCGTATAATTATATCTAAATACCTGTAAAATATGGAAATGATTCCATAATTTATATAGACGTTTGAAGTTAGGCGCAAAACCCGCCGTAAAGCTTGTTGGGCGCGAATCCCGAAGACTGATGATCAGACTCGGTTGACGCAGGCCAGGGAAAATAATATATGTAGCCAAGAGCTTGCGCTTAGCTTTATAGTTATGTTTCACATAAAAAAAAATTCGGTTTCATTCATATGAGCAACAATATGCCACGTTCGATCGTGAAAATAAACAGTAATTAAAAAAGAATGGAAAGATTTTCGCCACTGCGGGAATCGAAGCCACATCTCCCGGATTTCTTCCGTCAAGACGTTTTAACCACTAAGCTAAAAAATTTAATATCGCAATCATAATCGCGATATTCAATTTTTAATATCGATATATCGGATCAAAATATATCAGCTAAATATATCGATATATTTTAAAATATCGATATATCCATATTTTTCCGCAACCCTATCGTAATAGACAGTTGAAATTTTCCCCGATTTTGTTTTTCTGTTGCCGCTCAACAAATACTAAAAAACAAAATAAAAAATGTTAAATGGGAGCCCCATACAATAGACATGATTTTTTTAGACTTCAGAAGAGTATGCAGTAGCTATCTACTTGCTTGATCCTCTATCTTGACCTCTATCTTGTAAAGTAAAAAAGTAAAGTATCAGCCAATACATATCCCACTGCTGGACAAAGGCCTCCACTGTACAGTGGGTATCAGGGCATAGTGCACCAGGCGCCATCGCAGATTGGCGGACATCACATATCTTCGAAAATATTTTTTTGTTATTATTTTCAAATATGCAGGTTTTCTCATGTTTTCGCCGCTGAGCAAGTGATAATTCACCACTTAAAATTAACAATTTCATGGTTCCCGGTATCGAACTAGAAGTTGTTCGAGTACATTGAATTAAAGGTACCGGACACCGAGCTATCACGGCCTTTATCTTGACTTAAAGAAATTGAAAGGAAGTTACCGTGTCTGTTAAAAATTAAACATAAATCCCAAAAATGCGCAGTGCTCTTTGGAACTCCCAAGTTCTAAAGTAGTCGTCACTTTTTTGCGTTGTTGATTTTAAATTTAAGTGTGGTAGGACCATGCAACAGCGTTCACTGTTGCACGAATGGGCAGGTCCGTCCGGGTAAGTACCACGACCTCTTAGAAGACCGACGTAAAGTAGAAGTGTTACACTTCTGCGTTTCGTCCGGTGAGTGAAGTAGCCGGGGCCCACTTTATTTAAAGGTAGTAGTAGTAAGGCAACGCATTTGCAACCCCACGGGTGTTGCATATTTACATGGGCGGCGGTAATCACTTAACATCAGGTGGACCGCAACTCGTTTGCCACTTTCTCAAATAAAAAAATATATCTTATCCTTTAAACGAGCAATTCTTGTATATATATATATATATATATATAATCGGAATCTCGGAAACGGCTCTAGCGATTTTCATGAAATTTAGTATGTGCGTAGATTCGGGGGCGAAAAATCGAACTGACTAGGTTTCATTTTTAGAAAATGTCCTTTTATCCCTGTTTTCAGGGAATGAAAAATATAATTCGAATATGACGGTAAATTTCGCCGCAAGAGAATATGTCATAATATCTCGGTCGGTAATCGGGCGGCCCCAAAACAGACGGCCGTGGTTCGCGTCACGATCATTTACACATTTATTGTTTTACTTTTTTTCGATTCCAGATCATTGCTTTCTTTATTTTTAATTTTTTGTCGATTTGTTATTTTGTTATTTTTTTTTCCCTTTTTTTTTTAAAGTTCTTTCTTTTGTGAAAAACATTAGTTCATATTTTCTTATTATTATGTCGGTAAGATCGAAAAACATTATGCATATTTCATTACTCAGTAATTTGTATCTAAATGTAATTTCCAAAATACACGATTTACCAAAAAAAAAACAAATCGAGCAAAGCTCGGTTCTCCGGGTACTATACTTTAAATGTGTAATTATAATTTTTTTCCTTTACATTCTTCATAATAAATAAATTTCACTTAATTATTTCGCTGTATCTTCGCTAACTAAGTACGTTTCTAGTCATAACAATCATTTTTATGTATTCTTCTATGTCAAGGCATAACGACTTTGGTATTTGGCAATGAAATAATTATTTAAGTACATATAATAAAAAAAATAAGATAGGTATGTTAAAAAGAAGAAACAAAACCAGTCAGGCTTAAATATAAAGGACAGAAGATTTGAGCCTCCTTCTTTTTTCGAATTCGGTTAAGTCCGTTTTTACCTACCATTACTTGAATTCATATTATAAAATAGTATAGTATGTACCCAAAATGAAAACTATCCATTTCGCTTAAAAAAGCGGACGTAATATCACATATCAAGTGAAAGCTTGTGAAATGTGGGTATATTTACGAATCGCAAAATAATAAAAAATTAACAAAATCCTATAAATTCTTAAGCGTGATGTATATATATATATATATATACTCACGGAAACGGCTCCAGCGATTTTCATGAAATTTTGTATGTGCGTAGATTCGTTTGTATAGGAAAAAAATGTTAAAATAGCTCGGCCTTTTTTTACTTTTTTTTCGATCATTGCTTTCTGTATTTTTTATCGAACCAGATGATTTTGTTATTTTTTCCCTTTTTTTAAAGTTCTTTCTTTTGTGCTAAACACCAGTTCAAATTTTCTTATTATTACGTCTGTAAGATCGATAATTATTAATCATATTTCATTACTCAGTTATTTCTATTTTAATGTAGGTAATTTCCAAAATACATAATTTACCAAAAAAAACAATGCGAGCAAAGCTCGGTCCTCCAGGTACTTTAAATTTGTATGACGCAGTTGTCCGAGATAACTTTTCATTTGTTTTTCTTTTAGGTGAAATGTGGTGAAGCGAGCGGCGTTAAACTGATGTTAATTGAACACCGCCGATACATTACATCAGCGCACTTGTTATCACTTAGGTGGTTATAATTTAATAATCACAAATCTTACCGAAATAAACGTTTCCACTGGTAGAACCAAAAGTAAATGAACAAATGACAATAATAAAATAGCAATATTATAAGTATTTATATGTAACTCGTACCTTTTAATAAAATCTGGAGGTAATTCTACACTTCATAAGGACATCTCATCGGTAGGCACTTATAATATGGAATACCAATCGATGTCGATTTCAGTCAGCGTTTTTTGTTATAAAAATCATATTTTGTTGTGATATGCCCTTTCGCTTGCTACAATTAATGACCGAACAAAGTATCATTCAAACAACTCAATATTCAGTAGTCCGGCGAGGAAGCGTGCAGTTGCGCTACCGAAAGAGGAAACATGCAGCGCATGTTGGCGGCGGATGCGTGCGCCCTCTTATCGCGGCCAAAAGCACTGATAACGGCGCCATTGTCGGCGACAGGTTTCCACGTAGCGAGCAACGCGGCGTGCTCCACGCCTCCTAGTCGGATTCGCGCACAGGAAAAATCGACAATTCAAAACAACCACCTAACACAAAACATAATCCAAAGTGTGAACATGACAACAACTTCACATTTTAAAGAACGTGATTGTACTTATGCCTTTTGAAACCGTGGTGGCTGGTAGATCAATGCAAAAGTTTTAACTAAAATTTCGGAAATGTAGCATGAAATTAATAATTTTCTCTTTTCACAGAAGAAACGAAATAGTGTACGTATCTATCTACATTATATACGCTGTAATATATTTTAAAAAATCCTAATTTTTAATGTTAAAAATATCACGACCAAGTCAGCATGAAAACTTGTTCAATTTTAATGTTGCTGTGCAATACTATTTGTTCTCGATGTTTTCCACCACCGATGCGCATGTGATTGATTTATCAGAACTCAAAATTTCATTAGTGCATGGCATCGGGAATTGAACTTTGATTGCTGAGTATATTGAATTAAAAGTGAGAATACGTTCACTTCTTTTTCTGTTTCTGTTTTTTTTTTTATGAAATGAATAAATAGGTAATATTCAAACGTAACAAAGTTAAACCTGAGTGGGTGAGAACTAGGTAAACAAGAAAACTCTTTAAGTGGTAGTAAAGTCCTGCGTCAAAAACCTCTGTGTGAGAAAAAACGTGCCTCTATAAGAGAGTCGTGAACCCTGGAGATAGTTGTGCGGTAGACCTCTATAACTGAGACTTTTCACAATCGAGCATGTACGAACACCTTGCCTATTTATTTAAGTTTTTGACACAGTGTTCTATTTTTATGATCTTAAAAATAAGTGAACTGTTTGCTTTTTAAAATTTCGATGAACATACCATAAGTGCCCACTTACATTGTCTTTGCGCACATTTGGTTCTTAAATTATTACTCAATGCTTCTACTTTACTGCAGTTGATTAATATCAATAGCGGAGAAATATTCGGTCCTGCGTAATGTCTTAAAAATTCTAATGTTATCTCTAAGTGAAAACTAAAAATCATGGATGCTTTTAAGAATATGTGTGTATATTTAATAATGTATGTAGGTACAACATGTCTGAACACCCAATTCGAAAGTAATGGGGTTAGGTAGTAGTCCAAATCCCTTAACGTCGAATCCAGTTCGACATGAATTCGCATTTTACGGTTACATATAAACAACCATACCCAAAGGGTAAAACGAGACCATATTACTAAGACTCTGCTGTCTTTCTGTCTATCTGTCCGTCTGTCACCAGGCTGTATCTCATGAGCCATGATAGTTAGACTGTTAAAATTTTTACAGATGATGTACATCTGTTGCAACAAATATTATTATACGGCCCTAATAAAATTGGTAAATAATCGCCACATACCAAGTCGAAATTTATTAATATACTACAGATACTACCTACTATAGACTACAGACCTCAGTATCTTGATAAACAGTATCCACCCGTTCGTGAGGAAATCGGTAAAGCACTTCGAGATTGCATCACCCAGGGATGAGTATATCTACCTGTTTAGGTTATATAAAGACAGAGTGAATGAAAATGAACCTTGTGGCAACTTGAAGACTCGTCAGAGTACCACTTGGGAGGGTCGCCAATCGACAAGGGGGCTGGGGCCACACCCGTATTGCCCTGGATCCAACTACTTTTATTAAAACCTAATTAGCCGCGTTAAGGATAAAGGGTGTAGGTAGAAAAATACCATAGGGTTTACCTGGGACTATTCGCAGTGGTCGATTTATGAAAAATACAGTAAAATAAACCTATAAGCAAAAATATATGCTGACTTTGCCATAGGTTGTGTAGTATATTTTTGAAAAAAGAAAAAAAAAGGATTGCTTTGCGGTGATTTTTCGAATCAAAAGCCAACATCAAGATTTCAACAGGTTTATGTATAGATTTTCATTATTATTTGAGACGAAAATTTCGAAATTATACGTCTTTTGACACGTTTGGAAAAAGATATCAGAGGAAAATTTTTTTTACACACTGACCCTCAAAAAGCGACATGCTCGGTTTTCATGGTAATGCCGTAAAGTGGATGCTTTACAAGCAATAATAACTTTTTGACATTTACCTATAATTCCAAGTTATTAAAATAAACCTTTATCAATTGCATTTAATGTGTTTTTCACCAACCGAGCACTGGCTAAAATTTTGACTTATTTTTATTTTGTTACGCTGCAGAAGTATAACTTTGTGCATAGTACATAAATAAGCGCTCACATACTTCTGTTTTTTATGTGTGAAGGTGGCTAGCGAGCTGGCGGGTCACCGGTTAAGTGATAGCTATCGCTCATGGACATTTGTGGCACCCATAGCAGATGCGTTACCTCACTAGCCAGAGGAAACGCACAAGTGTAACACTTCCACTTCCGCTCTTATGTGAGGACGTGGCACTTCTCTTGACGGACCTCGTGCAGCAGCGAAGACTGTTGCGTCACCCTACCACACCCATGGATATGTTGACTACGACACCTGCTGTCGTTCACATTTTTAGAGACGAATAAACTTATTTTTATAACATTTAATTTTTATTAGAAAGAAAGGAAGAAAGAAAAACAGACTGACGTAAACAACAATCATTTACAACAATAAAAATTAAAAAGACAAAAAAAACATGAACATAAAACTCCAATATGTATTTATATAATATAATATTTTCCCTTTTGGAGCGAGCCTCTCATTTAAGCTAGGCTGTCTGAGAAAGCTGTTACGGCTCTTTAGACGTGGTGGTGGTGGAGTCTGGCTGTGAAGTGGATGCCTGCTATCATACTTCTGCTTATGCCTCTCCACACTGCAAGCTTCTTCTCGACGAACACTTGGCGGAGCTATACCAGCCAGGCTATACAGTTCGTGCAAAGGAGTCGGTTTCAGAGTTCCGGTAACCACCCGACACGCGGCATTTAGGGCAACATTGACCTCTTTGGCATGAGCAGAGCGTGCCCAAACTGGGCATGGGTATTCGCCTGCCGAGTAGCATAAAGCTAAGCTACTCGTCCGTAGTACATGTGGTGATGCACCCCATTGGGAAGAAGTGAGACGGCGTAGTATGTTGTTTCTTGAGCTAACTTTGGACCTCAGTTTGCGACAGTTTTCCCTATAAGCTAGCGATCGATCCAAGGTAACACCAAGGTATTTCAGTCAGTAGTTTCAGTTATTGTAATACGAATAGAAGGGATTGTTTTAGAAAAATCAACCGTTATTTGTACGGAATATGTTGTTTTGGCAGTCACCGGCGGAAGAAGACGACGTATTTCAGATATGAAATTTTTACTATAATCAATAAAAGCCTAGATATTAAGATTATTATCAACTAAAGCCAATACTTATCACCGTATTAAATATTATATGAACAGAATCTACTGATTATTTTGATTTACGTTGTTGTTACGTCGACAACAGTAGGTCGGTACGGAGGGGATGGCCCGTTAAGGTAAAATTAGATTAAGGTTATGGTAGAGCAACGCTCTCTAACATTTTTAAAGCAATGCATATCAGACTCGTTCAACTTACACGTTGAAAAGTCATCAAAGAGCCAGTAGGCTCAACCAATGAATTACATGGAAAGATGGACCATTCATTGATGATCGCATGAAACAAACGGATGAAAAGGGGGTGTGGTGAGACGTGATTTCCCCGCGCTATAAAGTAAACAGCCCCAAACGGCTCTAGTCTTGCATGGGCACATTAATGCTTGTGTTCACTCTGCGACGTACAAACTATTGTTTTGTTTTGTCCATTGTCATCTAAGGAGGCGCAACCACGCTCAAACCTCAGCATCCGGCGGGAAAATACACAAAGTGCCCGCCCACCGCAAATATAGCGCAGATGAACGCGCTCTATTTGCGGTTGTTTGGCGCGATGGCCTTCACTATACTCCCTCCTCGCCCTTCACCCCACAATTTGCTATTTCATTACACAAAATACGGAACTAAGCAATGATCCCGATGAACAACAAGAATTGTTTGTTTTATTAATTATCAAAAAGTAATGTGAGTTCTAGTGTGCGACTGTAGGGCTTCACCTCTGTCTGAAAGGCTATAAATAAAAAATCATTAGAACACTGTTAATGATTTTTTCCACATTTAGGTAACCACTCAACATTTAAATCAATGATAGTCGACACAAGAATCATGTCGCTCACAGGGAATAATTACGTCAACAACTATACATTAGCATGTTACGTGTGACGCAGAGTGATGTATCCACATCTTGAGGCGAATTTGTGCGTACATGATAACCCTCATCCAACTATACTATACATAGTGGCTTTCAGCTTTAGTTGGTCGTAGTCGACATGGTAATGAAACTTCTATACATATACATGTATAACAGGGTTGAGAATCCTTCAAAGTTTTTGGAACAAAGTTCCATGAAGCGACCTGCGGGAGGTGTGTTCGTAGAAATGACCATGTAAGGAAATGCTGTTACACTCTATTCGAGTCCGGCGAATCTCGTATAAAGAGATTTCAACACAATACCGGCACTGCGCGCACTACACACCCTAGTTAATTGAGCAATGTGGGGCAAGGGTATGTCGCCAGTGCGGCGCTACCTTTGATTTGTTTAGCATTTCATTTTTATAATTTATTATTAAGAGATTTTAATTAAATATACTCTAGCAATCTGAGTTTAAATCCCGGTGCCATCACCAATTGTTAATTTGAAATGCCGAGATATGCCGAGGTGTGATGTGTATGTGCATATTATACAAATGAAAATAAAAATGTTTCGAAGATATGTGAATTACGCAGTGGCATGTCCCATTGCTGAGCAAAAGCTTACCATGCGACCCCGCTGCCTTCGGATGGTAGGCGTTTGCTCAGCAACGGGACATGCATAGGCTGTTTACTTATTTAGGTAATTTTATTAATTATTCCAACTGTTATAAATAAGTTGCACTGAATTATATTATACTATGTTTTTAAAATATTTAATGGAACCATCTGATTCGATCACAAGAGCTTTTTGTTTTTTATACAGTTATAAACAAATGATTATAACATCTCTATTATTTTACCAATAAATTTTCAAATTTGTTATTGTTAATGATTGCGAACCATGTGGTATGGTGTATTTTTATTTAGTTCTTTCATTGAATTTGCGTCAAACAATCAATCAAGTTTGCAATAATCAATCCTGTTCTAGGAAGATTAATGGTATGGTCTACTTACAGAATACACTATCTCGTTACATTTTTCTTTACACAAACACGTGTTGCAGCTGGTCCGAATGATAAAATGATTACTGATAGAAATTTAATTGATGTCACGATATTTGTTTGCACAGGATATATGTGTTAGCTACGCTGTGTAAACGTATGTTTTTGCTGTGTGCTGTTCACCAAAGCATAGGGAACAGTTGCGAATACAGCCACGTGGCAGGACTCGCGTGAATGGTGTCAGGAACGAGTCCGGCACTGAGCGATTACTGATTGAACGCAACGTGGCCACAGCGCGGCGTCGCCTCTGCTTCGTTGGACGGACGACACCGTAAGGAAGGTGGCGCAACGGACAATATTCTATGTGTGAACTTACGGGCGGCGGCGAGCGGGCATGCGACTCACCTGCAACAATCAGATATTGTATGGCTTAGCACAGGTAATTCTTATATGCGAACAATGCAATCAAGCAGGAAACGTAGGTGCGGATGCAATAATGCTTTCAATGGTCGAATCCCAGGACAGGGCTAAAATGGTAATGACCAAGGATTATATACTATACTATCTTGTACAACGGTCACTTGTCGTGGCGAATGGAGCGCAACGAGTGTCACTGAATGCGATGCACGGACGGACGGGTGCGCGCCGTGCACCACCTTTATTGTTTTGCTCTGAATCTGAAAATGTGGTTGGTGACTCACCAAAAAAAGTGTCCTAAATCATACACTATGTACATAAACCATCTGTCACAGATGTGAAGCCCTAAGTAGGTGACTTATATATGTATTAGGAAATAAAAGATAAAGTCGCTATTTTTTTTTGAAAACTCATAATGGAAGCGAAAAGGTTTGCCTTTACAAAAGTTTTCTTATATACGCGGAATTGGAACAATTTTAGTAATGGACATTGTATACGAAATGTCAACATGGAAACGAGCAACAGAAGAGACAGTGGCCGGAGTTACGTGTTCTGCAATCGCTTTCGAGAGGCATTTTATTGTCCATTGGTGGACATTGGTGGACATTGGCGGACATTGGCGGAACAAAGAGACGCAAACAATACCCGCGGCGCGTATCTGCCACAGTAAGCCCGTCGAGTGGCTGCGATCGGTGAGAGGTCACCGGACCATTGTTTCGGCTTGACCACTTGTGGAGGCGACGAAGGCTTGCATCGCCGCGACCGAGGGCGGACGGCACGCACGGCCTCACTGGGCGCGGCTATTCTCGGCGCCGCTTTATTCAATTACGGACATTATTCAATTACGGATTTTCACTCATCTCTGCGGCTTCCAACAACCAACTGTGACTCGCATCGCAACGGACAACGCGCTGTGTAAATAATATTAGGTCTTTAACTATGATATTGCCGTTTTGCATGATAAAATATTTTCTGTTTCCAAAGTAAGCATCTATGTAATCGATGCACCCTTACCAACGCATGGGTAGTTTATTGATGCCCTTCTCATAAAAACCACCTGGACGGGAGGCAACAAACTCTTCAAAGGTATTTGTACTGCCTCTCGGTAATTGAATCTTTTTCCCGCTAAAAAGTTGTCCAAATTTTGGAAAAAGTAATAATCGGTAGGTGCAAGGTCCTGTGAGTAGGCGGATGACTAGCTTTCAACTCTCGCAGCTTGGAGACTGTCCGTTGTGCAGTATGTGAAGGAGCAGCGGGGACGACCGAATTGACCAAAGCTGGTTGCAGATGTGCGGGCTTCTGCATCATTCTCTTCACTTTCTCACGATACACATCTGCAGTAGGACTAATGCCGTTTTGTAAAAAGCTCTGATGATTCAAACCAGCACTAGACTAGACAGTGACCGTCACCTAGAAAGGTGATGGTAACTGTTTGGTGATTTCGATTTTGTTGATTATTTTTTTGTTGGAAAGGAGATAACCCAATGGTGGTACCATGATAAGGAAAGCCGGATTTGATTATGACATCCCAGAGAAATCCAAGGCAATCTCAAATATTATAGGTATTAGATATTATAGGTATATGTTTTTTTAGTTCCCGGTTAGAAGCTGATTTCTTTTTGGGGCTGCTGCTAGTTCGGCTATAGATTGAGTATCATAAGATTCCACAATCGTCTTCAATTCATCATTGTAGACCAAAGTGTCAGGACGAGGTTCATTTTTCAAGTCAAGATTTCCAGAACGGAACCGGAACCGGGCGAACCAATAACGGTTTGTGCGTTCGTTTGTAAAGTTCTCTCCGTAAACGTTGTTGATGTTACGTGCCGTTCAGCCACGAAGGAGCTCACATTCCATGATTATACGAATTTGTAAAGTATCCATTATGACGAATGAAAAAAATTAACAAAAAAAGATGTAATGTTATACGAAAACATAAGCTCGGAGAATTCACCGTAAGTTACATCGACGACATCTTGTTGTTCTCAAAAACTTTCTCAGAACATGTCGGGCATTTAAAACAATTATTTCAAGAAATTAAAAGTGAAGGTTTTAGACTGAAATTTTCTTAATGCACATTTGCAGCAGACTCAGTTAAATACCTGGGCCACATAATACAGAATAATTCAGTTAGACCTCTAAAAGACAACTTGATATCAATAAAAAACTTCCCTACTCCAAAATCGCAAAAAAATGTGAGACAATTTTTAGGGAAATTAAACTTTTATCACAAGTATGTGCCAAACATAGCAATAAAATTAGAACCATTGCATAACCTTTTGAGAAAAGGACAAATCTTTAACTGGACTAAGGAATGCCAAGAGTCATTTGATGAGATGAAAGTCATTTGATGCTCTCAACCAATATTAACCATTTTTGATCATAACTTGCCAATTTACATATACACAGATGCCAGTATACTGGGAGTAGGAGCAGTCTTAAAACAGCCACAAGAAAACAAAGAAGAGAAACCAGTAGCATATTTTTCAAAAAAATTGAACGAAGTTCAAAAAAGGAAAAAAGCTATATATCTGGAATGCTTAGCAATTAAAGAATGTGTAAAGTATTGGCAACATATTTTGATAGGTAGGAAATTCACTGTCTTCTCCGATCACAAGCCTTTGGAAAATATGAATATAAAGTCAAGAACGGATGAAGAATTAGGAGATTTAACTTACTACCTATCACCATATGATTTCCAAATTAAATACTCTCCAGGAAGATATTACATTGAAGCTGATTGTCTAAGCAGGAATCCAGTCTTAGAACCAAATGAAAACCTGGATGAACAATTAAAAGTGGTTAACATGATTAAACTAGAAGATATCCTAAAAGATCAAGTTAACAATAGTAATAAAGTCCATAAAAGAAAAATTGTTGAAAAAAAATAATGTTTATTATAAGAAAGTTAAGAAAAGGGAAAAAATAATTCTATCAGAGAAATTTAGTATAGGATTAATCAAAAGTGTACATACAAACCTAGGTCATTTAGGACTTAATCAAATGCAAAGAATGATTAGCTCATTGTATACAGCAGAAAACATGACAAAAAACATAAAAAGTATCTGCGAAAGTTGTATAGTATGTATAAAGAATAAGTCCAGAGGACAAAATAAATATGGATTGATGTCCCAATTGGGCCCCGCTACAAAACCCTTTGAGATATGTTCCATTGATACCATTGGAGGCTTTGGGGGTTCAAGGTCGACAAAGAGATACTTGCACCTGCTATCAGATCATTTCACTAGGTATGCATACATTTCAACATCAAGTACTCCAAATGCAATTAATTTCATCAAACTAGTCAAAAACTGTGCAGAAACAGACGATATCGGCATGATTCTTTCAGGTATAAATTTAAAGGAATTCAAAAGATTTTTGGATGAAAAGAAAATTCCAATAATTTTTACTGCAGTGAATTCGCCCTTCTCAAATGGTTTAAACGAAAGACTAAATCAAACGGTGGTCAATAAAATAAGATGTAAGATAAACGAAAAAGACACTAAAATTGCATGGGCAACTATAGCACAAATGTGTGTAAAAAATTATAATGAAACGGAGCACACTGTCACTGGTTATGCTCCAAAGTATCTTTTAAACGGCACAGATGTTGCAATTCTGCCTAATGAACTAAAACGTAAGAAGACCGAGCAAGATCTGATCCAAGACAGGAAAAAGGCTCTGGTAAATACAATGAAATCACATAATTACAACAAGAAATTTACGATAAAAATCGAAGACATATAGAATTCAAAGTTGGTGATGCTGTTTTTTTTGTGGACAATGGAAACAAATTGAATAGGAAAAAGCTTGATGAACTGAGAATCGGACCCTACAAAATTATAGAAAAAATATCAACATCAATTTACAAGATAAACACTGACTGTAAGAAATTAGAGTCAAACTATTTCCATATCTCGAAACTAACTCCTTGCTATGCTTGAGAGACCATGAAGAGGATGTGTAGGTAGTCGTTATGTTTTATCTTCTCTGGGAGGGGGAGATGTAAAGAAAAATGTTATTTTCTTTTATTTAAATATTTTCTTTAATTTAAATATTTTCGCGCACCGGCCGTTGATAAAATTTATTTTAAAAAGTATGTTTGACGCCGGATTATAATAGAAAAAGAATTAAGCTGTCATATGAAACAATTCATGAAAATAATCTTATTACAAAAATATTTAATAAGTAAAATAGTGATTTAGGAATCGACATTGTGATTATGAACATTAAATGTCGTTTCTTTAATTACAGGTAAAGTTTTAATAGTAAAATCTTTTATTTTTGTTATTTTAATTATTATTTGTTATAGTTTCAAAATATTACAATAAATCTTTAATTACAGAGAAACTCAATTGTGTTTTGATTGCTGTGTCATCCTAATCACTGAAAAATATTCTTATATATATATATATATATATATATATATATATATATATATATATATACATACATGTAGTTGTTGTATAGGATGTTACAAAAGTTGTTTCTTTTTAACTTAATTAGTTTTTTTCAAAAATATTTTTTTATGATTATTGGTAAGTAGCGTTAGATGTGTGTTCATTTATTGTCGCGATTGTAAAGACACGCTGTATATATATAGTAATACGTAAAGTAAAAACTTTGTATCCTTTTTACGAAAATTGCGCAGACGGAGGAGTGTGACATTTTCCACACTTATAGTTTATACATGTAGAGAAGAAATGCAGAATGCTAATATTTTTTTAAAATTATGCACTACTGTTTTTTTATTGTGTATTGTATTTGAGCATAAATTAATGTTGTTTTAATTCTAACTTATAATTTAAATTGATTATGGTTGAATTTCGACTTCTCGGCGTCCACTAGTAACATTAATGCCGCACCGTTTTTCGAGCCTAATACATTTTAATCCATAGAGAAATGTAACTAATGAAATATAATTCTTTCACTGTGCTAATCTCTACACTAAAGATGAATCATTAAAATTTGTAGAAAAAAGTACCGAAAAAAGACCACTTTCACAAAGATTTACGCGTTGATAAGATTAACATAAATATTAAAATTCAGACTGTCAAAACGTTCGGTTTTCATTATCGACATTGTTAAAAAGCATGATAAATCAAATGCAATAATAACATATTTAAATCAATGTATTGATACCCTGTATGTCTTCTTATTCTTCTACCTGGCATTAATCCCGGCTATTGCCAGGGTCTGCCTTCCTACTTAAACTTCTCCACTTTGCTTGGTCTTCGACATCCGCAGGGGTCAGTCCATTGGCTCTCATGTCCTTTTCCACGACGTCCAGCCATCGCTTCCTTGGGCGTCCAGGGGGTCTAGTTCCTGGGACAGGTATATGAAGGCATATCCTTCCGACATAGTTTTCCGACCGGCGTGCGACATGGCCATACCATCTCAGGCGCCGCTCTTGGAGTTTATCCGCTACGTCACGAACCCCGAGACTGCCTCGAATGAATGTGCTACGTATGCGGTCAGCCCGCGTGACGCCACACATCCACCTAAGCATCTTCATCTCCGTGACGTGAAGCTCTTGTGCCGAGTGTGCCGAGATAGAGGTGGCCAGCACTCGCTACCATACAGAAGTACCGGTCGGATGATGCACTTTTACACCTGGCCCTTGAGCTTGGGCGGTATTCTGCGGTCGCAGACCACACCTGTAACCTCTCGCCACTTAGCCCAAGCAGCGCGTATCCGGGCTTGGACGTCATGGTCAATGCTTCCGGACTCGTGCAGAACGGATCCAAGGTACCTGAA